TATGGTTCAAATCCCAGTGATCCCATTTATGAAGCACATGTATTCTCGTGTTCAGGACATGTGTAAACGAAAACCCTTATGAGGTGGCTGGCTCGATCCACGATTGAATCTCTCCCAACAATTTAAGTTATTGGGATCAATTGATTCTTGACAGTGAGTGTATATGTTTTTTAACATAGTTTCCTTTTTTTAGTCTTGAAATTGGGGTAATTAGCATAAAAGGTCACAAACCTATTCACTTTGTACGAAACGGTCACGAAACTTTAATTTTGCACGTTTCAGTAACATACGTTTAAGGGGATAACAAAACGGTCATTCTGTAAATCTCCATCCAAAAACCGTTAGTTTCGTCCAGTCAACACGCCACATCACTTAATAAAAAAATTATTGACCAAACCCTATTGAAACAGACTTCCCAACCAAAAACCCTAATTTATACCAGCCGAAATCTTGAAGACTAGTTAATAAATAAATAGGAAGCTGTCGTTTTAACTCGCCCCTATCGAGCGAAGGGTCGCCGCCCTGGTTGCATCGCCGATAGCCGAAAACCAACTAAGGGTCGTTGCTGATAGCGGAAAATTCTCCTACCTCATTTTCAAGCTTGGCCGCATGGTTCTCAATGCCTTTCCGGCTTTCCCTATTCTATTCAAGAACTCCGGAATCCCCACTTTTAGTGCAACAGAAATTAACAACAATGAACCATTTTCCCTTTATGAAACCTAAAGCTCTAAAGCTAACAAAGTTCCCAGCTTTATCATGAAGCAAGCCATTCTAACACTAAGGGCCTGTTTACTTTCATTTCTGTTTCCTGTTTTTGAGAAAACAGATGTTGAAAACAGGTGAAAACAACATTTTGTCGTTTCCGAAAACAGCAGGAAGTTGCCATTTTCTGTTTTCATAGTTGGAAACGAATAGAAAACAGAATGAAAAGTAAACAAGTTTTCTCATTTCGGTTGCCAAATTTATCACATGAAAACAGAAAACTGGAAACGAAAATAAAAGTGAACAAGGCCTAAGTAACTAACCCATTCAAGCCCATCGTATTCGTTTTTCCAAACCAATTAAGAGAGAAAACACCCATCAACTACAAAAAATAAAAAAATTATCTACACCGTTCACCCCGGAAACCAAAACCGAAAGAAATAGAAAATTCAGTTGGGAGATTTGATTTGAGCAGGGGAAAGAGGCGGCGACCCTTCGTTGGTTTCGGCCGACGACGGGACCCAAAAAAGCTATCGGCGATGGGAGACTGTTCTGAGGCCGCGATTCTGGGGGCGACGGGAGAAGATATCAGCGACCCTTCGTTGGTTTTCGGCTGCAACCCTTCGCTCGGTAGGGCATAGTGAAAAAAGACAGCCTCCAATTATTTTATTTATTAACTAGTCTCCAAGATTTCGGGTTGTATAGAATTAGGGCTTTTGGTTGGCCAGTCCGGTTCAATTGGGTTTGGTTATTAAATTTTTTATTAATATATTATATGATGTGGCATGCTGAGTGGCCAGTCTCTCAAAAATATGTTACTGAAACGTGCAAAATTAAAGTTTCATGTCCATTTCGTAAAAAGTGAATAGGTTTGTGACCTTTTAGGTTAATTACCCCTTGAAATTGGTGGGGAAAAAGGGTCTCTTACCCCTTTCTTAAGATACAATGGAAGGATTTGGAAAACTATTTGGAACAGGAAGCCAGATGCATGACGAAAGCAAGAAGACTCGGAGTTTCCACTCCATTCTCTTCATGTTGTGGATCATGTATTACATAGCTTAACATTTGAGTACGTCGTGGGTCCTGCTGTAAAAAATGTCCTCCTTGAATTTGGATTGAACGGTATAGTGGAAGAGCAATTGGATGACGCTGCTATGTAGACTAGAATCAATATCCACGGCTATGCCACGGGGAGTATATTGCAATTGCAGATTCAATTGTGTTTAGTATATTTTAAAACAGTATAACCATAACAAAAGAAAAGAAAAGGTTAGATATCATATATAAAGAATACTAAACTTGAGGGCGGCCAAGCCTCACAAAGTCACAATAGCAAAATGGCATGAAGGATCATCTTCAGCCATCTCTCTTCTTTATAGTTTCACCTTACTGAGAGTTCACAGTTGTCATGAAAGCAAATTAAATTAGCTTAACCCTCATATCCTTATGCTATCTGCGGCTTCTTCGAACTGAAGTAGAGAGCAAATTATTGTTCAAGGCATCTACTTGCTTAATGCTCAATTTTCAGCCAAGGCAAGTGAGTTGTTCCTTTGCAAATCTTGTACTGTCATTGCAGGAAGGAATGAGTTTCATTATATTACTAATGTGGTTATACAAAGTAAGCTGAAGTTCAAATGGAAGTGTGTTGATAATGCGAGAGACATATCTATGCTATTTTGGTTCTATTTCCGCAACTGAAGTCCACAATAATTAGTCCAAACAATACTACGTTCATAACAAACCATTATCATAAACCAAATAGTAATCAATCCTTCATTTTCATAAGTAAACTCCTCAATTGGCACATCCTTTACAACCTGCAGACTTACAGACAAATTAAGTCAATATAAGGGCTCTGGAACCTGTAACAACATGATGAGAGCATGAAAAGAATGCACCAATCTACTGAAACCATTCTGCTGCCAATCAATCTAACAAATATACACCTGGATATTCAAAACGATCTCTTCGCTCCTACACAATTGTATGGAACCCGAAATGTTATAGGCTATCTACTTTACCTTTTTTTCTAAACAATATCTATGTGACTCAAGTCAATCTCTAACAATATCCAATTTGTAGGTTAATGCTTCAATCTCCAATTCCTCTGCTCAAGAGAGAAGCATGAGCTTAAGGGAAGATTTCAATTTCTAAAAACTCCTCATCTTGACTCGAAATCAGAATTTAGTGATGACGATGTAGCTGCTTTCAAAGACAAATGAGTTCACTTCAATTAAGTGTCCCAGCTAAAAATCAGACCTCAAGATTTTGACTGAAAGAATTAGGAATGTCAAATTGGAGAAAGCAATAACCAGATTGGATGATTATCTGGAGAAGAAAGCAAAGAACTTAACTGCCCATCCAGAGCACAAAATTAAAAATTAAGAATGTGACCAGATCCAAGAATGGTCCATATGCAGACATAGCAGAAACAATTTCTAATAAGGCACACAATAGAGATCAAACAACAAACAAAAAGGTGAAAAGTAGGAGACGAAGCACACATTATACTCAATGTTATATCTAGAAACACTATTCTTTTTCATCTATACGACTTTCTTAATGGGGATTAATTAGAAGCAAAAGCGGAGAAACAGAACGATTAATAAGCAAGTATTCCGACATTTCATGGCCTTGATAAACACCTAGCAAATGAGATAGTCACACTCACATTCTTGAAGTGAATTTGATGAACCTCCCTTCAAAAACAGTGACTCACGCAGCCCGAGAAGTCGAACCCAAAACTAAACTATGTTTCTTAAGTCCCATTTTATAGAGAATGCCTTAATCAACCAAAAAGGCAGTAAATTTGAGAGTCCTACACTGAAACAGGAAATTCACATTCTCCAAACCACTATTGAAAGCATTCAGCCTACCAATCTCATGAACACATATGTGGTAGGCATGTAACCGAGGACTTCAACCTCAACCCACTCATCCAATCCCTGCAGATGAAATAAGCAGAAAAAAACACAAACTCCAAGGTCAAATAGTAATCAAAATTTAGCAGAAACAAACAGAACATAGTCCATTAGAGTAGCGACTGATTCCGAGTGAGACCACAGATTCAAAACTCCAAAATTATGCTTCTTTCCTTCTTCTACATTTCATTTAATCCATTCTAGAAAAACAGAAACAACAACAGAAGCGGTGATAGGAGAAGGAACTACCAGAAAATTTAAGCGCAAGCAAGGAGCAAGAGTGTTGGCTGCTTGCGGGTCTTTCTCCTTCTTTACCAAGTCTTCTGCTTCACCGCTTCCTCCTTCCAACATTTGTAATACCTCTCTCACTGGAAGTCGCTCAGTCCTGATCTTATCCATGTTCCACCACGGTTTTATCCATGTTCCACCACAGTTGTGAACTATTCAAGTGACCGAGGAACTCTTAGGAGAAAATCAAGGCAGTGCAGCGACAACTGGAGATACCAAAAGCAAAACCTACCGAATGAACTTTTCATGATGTGTCTCATGAGCATAAGCAAGAAACTCATTTGCCTTCTCACTTGCAGTACCAACCATAACAAAAAAGAACAATAAGGGACAATAAGCAACCACTTGACCTGAGATCACATCCAAAACTACAGGTATAGATAATTAATAACAAACTTCGAGTACGCAAGAACGGTAAAGACCATATGAAAGAAAGACTTGGAATAGATCTCATCACCTGCGGAAGGACTTGGAGCATATCTCTTCTTCTCAGCTGTTACCTCAGTTATGAGCTTCAGCCATTGGTTTTAAGTCGCTGCTTATCATGATCGGGTTTTTGTTGCAACATTTGTTTTGCTTGCCCGTCGATCTGCACTCCTAATTCCCAATCCAACATCCGTTGTAAAATTTCTCAACCCACTACCATTCTTCTAAGCACCCATCCATTTTCCCTCCTGATTCCAAGTCCACTATCCGCCATAAACCTTCTCCGCTCACCACCGTAGTCGCCGCCGGGAAACTTTAATTTTCAAGTCCCTCAACAATATGCAGATCAATTCTCGCTTAGAATTTCCACCAACACCATTTGTACATCCTCATAGCGCTCAAGCACATGCCTCTCCAAGAAATCCAAATCAAGCACACTTCCTACCTTGACTTCGCCTTTTTTCATCCCAGCCACACAGAGAGTAATTTCAGATTGCTAAAACTTGGTGGCACCAACGTTCGAGGCGTGAGAAGGCCGGATTGATAATTTCAAAGCAAGCTGTAATAGGGAAGAAGATGAAGAGTATAGAAGCGGCGACCTCGTAACCAGAGGATATCTTGGGAAGTTGCAAACAAACCTCTAATCGGCGATCGTCTCCGTGAATGGAGATAGCGTCGACCTCAACGGAGCCCCTCGCCAATGATGAGAGATATTTCTTCTTCCCTTTTTTTCTTCATCGACTGAGAGAGAGGGAGGTAGACGGAGATTTCTTCTCTAAAGCTTTACTTGTACATTGTGCTGAAGAAGAGGACGAAAGCCTGAAATCATGGAAGACATCGTTTTCCCAATGCACAGTGAAGTTGCTAGTAGTGCCATACAATGCATGGTTGGTGGCGTGTGTAAGCAGCTGTGCACAGGTGGTATGGGCGGAGGCGTACGCCGGGAGCTGCGAAGAGGAGGTAAGGTGGAGGAGAAGCACAGTACTGGAGCTGTTAGAGGAGAAAAGCATGGTAGGGGAAAAGTTTCCTAGGCAGCTCCATTTTGCGGGAAACCCTTTGAGGCGCGGCACAAAACGACGAAAAGTGAAACAATAATGAATTTTTTGGGTGAAAAAGCGTACCCACATTTCATATATAAAAGAATTGGTGTGGCAATTGCAAAACTACATGATGGTGGGCTTATCATGGAGATTTGACCACTTAAAACTGTTGCGATTACTTAAACTGTGTTAGTATTTGGCCTTCTTGGGCCTTGTCCGAGTTGTAGTAGGTGTGGATACTTGGCTGTACTTGACTCTTCTCGTTAGGGTTTTAACCCTAGTCTATCTCTATATAAGTCTTAGCTACGAATCTGTCGTAAGAAAGCCCTCAAGATGTAGTCTGTAATAAAACATCAGTCGTGGATTAGTCTCGATAAATCAATCGATCGAGGATACCACGTAAAATTCCTGGACTCATGTTCTTTCAATTTTCCGTGTTATAAAATTCTACATGGTATCAGAGTGAAACTCGATCCTTGATTAGAGTTTTGAGCTTCCATCTATCTGCCTCCTCGGTCTCGTCAACATCAACAATCAAGGGTTGTCTGTGCGACATTCCCGTTCTGGGCCGAACGCGTCTCCGTCTCTAGTCCAGGCTCATCGAAGCTCGTAGCTTCTGTCTCCAGCGAGTTCATTGCCCGTCAAAGTCGTTTCCACCGCAGGAAGAGCCAAACCTTCTTGATTGTTCCGACTCTCCGTCTCGTCCACCGGTCGCCTCCACCAGCGATACCCGTGAATCTTAGATCCCCCTCCGGGTGCTGCTCATTCTTCAGCGATGCTCGTGAATCCCATATCCGTTGTCGAGTCCGTCAAACCCAGCGCATATGATGTTCCCAAATCAAGGTCATGGTTCATTCAAGCATCGCTAGAAGCTCCTAAATAGCCGGTTAGTCGAAGCTCATCGCCTTGCTGCATTCAGCGCCCAGTCAGCCTTAGCCACAGCCTTCATTCTTAATTGCCTGTCAAGCATCTCGTCATCCCTACCATCATTCACGGCTGCCGTAGTCAATTGTGTTGAGTTTCATTCCGGCCTCCACCTCCGTCTCCGCAGCCCTCGACATCAACATCGCCTCCAACGCCCCGTTCATCATGGGCCACAAAAATTCCTTGTCGTCAGGCCTAAATCCAGCGTTGAGCGTGTCTCCATCTGCGTCCCTGTCACAATCTACAATCAAGGTCCCGGAAGTCACGGCATCAACCAACGAAGTCGCCCAGCATTATCGCCCTCGTCGGTCAGCCATTGTCCCGGTCAGCGGCAACGCCGGTTTTCCAGCGTACTCTTTAACCCAGTAGCATGAGAAAACTCTTAACCTAGCACAATGTCGGCTAGGGTTTCAAAGAAAGGAGATGAGATGAGTCTTAGGCCATTGTGGGAATTGGCATCTTGCCCTTTCCTCTGTGGGATTTTCATATATATATACACAAGAAACCAAAAGAGTTAATCAGTACATCAACGGCTAACTAACAGTAAACAACTCAAATAAACCAATGACTGCAAGACAGGTGGCAGTCGTAAACAACTAATTACAAACTTCAGTTAATGGCAAGAACGACGTCGTCTGCTTGTGGGGTGGAATACCACTTAGCCAAACGGTGCCGTTGGAATCTGCTGTGTACAAGGTTGAGTGAAAGGAAGCTCAGCCCTGTTGCTTTGTTCAATCCATCTGCAGAGTTCTTCAGTTCTTTCAGTGATCATCTCCTCTGCAGCAGCTCGTAGATCATCAATCCAATTCACACCCCCCCCCCCCCCCCCCGGCAAGCTGGCAGGCACACATCATGGACTGCAAGCTTGGCGAGGAGGTATGTAAACCTATCTACTGACAGACCTTTGGTAAATATATCTGCCAGTTGTTCATCAGTTGGAATATGATGTAGACTGATGAGTCCTCCTTTCAATCTTTCACGAACGACATGACAATCAATCTCAATGTGCTTTGTTCGTTCGTGAAAGACAGGGTTTTCAGCTATATGGATAGCTGATTTGTTATCACAAAATACTTGAATTGGCAAAGGATGATCAATCCCATAGAATGACATCATAGATTTCAACCATTGTATCTCACAGGACAGTTGAGCCAATGCCCTGTACTCTGCTTCAGAAGACGACCTGGAAACTGTCTTTAGTTTCTTGCTTTTCCACGTGATCAGAGAATCTCCAAAGAATGTACAGTATCCAGTCACTGACCTCCTTGTATCAGGACATGTAGCCCAATCTGAATCACAATATCCCCTTAGCTTCAGTGTAGAAGTGGAAGAGAACCATAATCCTTGACTCGGATTACCTTTCAGGTACCTTAAGATTCTGTGTAATCCCTTCAAATGGACTGTAGTAGGCTTGTCCTGAAACTGGCAAAGCTGCTGGACAGGGAATGTAATGTCTGGTCTGGTAGTTGTTAGGTATTGTAGTTGTCCAAGTAAGTGCCTGAAATGTGATCCATCTTCCAATGGTGTTCCATCTGAAGCTGATACCACAGTCTTCATACTCAGTGGTGTTTTGGCAGGTTTACTTTCCAGGAAATCAGAATTCCCCAACAACTCCAAGCAAAACTTTCTTTGATTTAATGATATTCCTTTAGAAGTTCTTGCTACTTCCATTCCCAGGAAGTATCTCATATTCCCAAAAAGGCATTACTGACATCCATTTGATGGATATGCCAGGACTTAGCTGCTGTAACTGCTAGGAGAAGCTTCACTGAGTTCATTTTTGCAACTGGACAAAAAGTGTCTAAGAAGTCTACACCATAGGTTTGAGTGAAACCTTTGGCAACTAACCTGGCCCTGCGTTTATCAATATCACCATCAGGGAGGAATTTAGTCTTGAATAACCATTTGGTACCCACAACCTTCTTACCAGGTGGTAAATCCACCACATCCCATGTCTGATTAGCCTCCATGGCGCCTAACTCAGTCTGAACAGCATCATCCCAGCATTTTTCCATAATGGCTTGAGAGTAGTAAATGGGATCAGGGTTGAGAGAAATGAAAAGAGTGTAATGTTTGTGGTTTGGTGGAAGAGAAGAATAGTTGAGATGATGAGATAGTGGATATAAGACTTGAGAGTCATACTGGCCAAAAGTGCCATTGGTAAGAAAGGTTGTGTGAAAGTCTTGAAGGTAAGCAGGTTGTTGTGGTAATCTCCTTGGTCTCCTCTGTGCAAGAGGCAAGGATGGTGTAGAAGGGGAATGAGAGGAACCTGAACTTCCAGATGAATAAGGGGTATCAGGGGAACTTTGTTGGGGTGTGAATGGGGAATCAGGGCTGTCTGAATCAGAAGGGGAATCTGAATCAGAAGGGGAAAAAGTTGAGTCAGCAGTTTCATGGACATTGTGGTCTGCTGGTAATGGAAGTTCAGGGGAAAAAGAGGTGATAAAATCAGGTGTTGTTTGTGGTTCAGAAGAAGTACTACTCTCAGCCTGCTGGAATGGGAAAGAAGTTTCAGAAAACTCTACATCCCTACTGACAAAAATGTCATGGGTCTCAATGTCATATAGTTTAAATCCTTTGATACCAAAAGCATAACCAATAAAGACACACTTCCTTGCTCTGGAAGCAAACTTTCTTTTGTGTTCATCCAAAACTGCAGCATATGCCAAACACCCAAACACCCTTAATGAACTATAATCTGGTGGGATTCCATATAGGCACTCCAAAGGAGACTTATTGGCTAGTGTTGGGGTTGGCGTTCAGTTGATTAGGTAAGCTGAGTGTAAAACCAGATGACTCCAGAAACTTGTAGGAACTCCAGAATGAAATTTCAATGCTCGAGCCACATTCAACAGGTGTTGATGCTTACGCTCTACCCTACCATTCTGCTAAGCTGTCTTCACACAGATTTCATGTATAATCCCATTGGATTGATAGAACGAGGGCATATTAAATTCCTGCCCATGATCTGATCTGATAACCTTAATGCTTTTATCAAACTGATTCTTCACCATAGCATAAAAGGATAGCAACAATTCACGAGTCTCAGATTTGTTACTCATCAAAAACAACCATGTAGACCTACTAAAGTCATCCACCACTGTCAAAAAATATCGATAACCATCATGGGATACCACATCAACCGGTCCCCAGATGTCCACATGCACAACATCAAATGCTTCCTTAGCTATGGAACTACTTCTGTTAAAAGGTAATCGTTTCTGTTTTGACATATGACAGACATCACAGTCACTGGAAATAGGTAAAACTACTTCATTACAATGTTTGCTAATTTCTCTTAGTCTTGGTAAAGAAAGATGTCCTAATCTGGCATGCCAGAGATCTGATTTGTGGCTGGTGTTCACTCCAAAAACAGGATGGCTCGAAATCTCCCCAGGTGTCGTTGGCTCTCCAAGCAAATACATGCCTCTATCTACGTGGATTAAACCAATCTTCTGATGAGATATGATGTCCTGAATACAACAAAAATTTGATTCAAATACCAATGAGACAGGACTGTTTTTGGTTAATTGGCTAATGGAAATAAGGTTGTAGCTAAAAGAGGGAACTAGCAAAACATTGGTAAGAAACAAAGCACATTGCAATTTGACTATACCAATGTGAGTGACTATGGCTTCCTGTCCTGTTGGAAGGGTTACAGACAGGTTTTTAACTTCCTTACATCGAAGAAAGAACTTAATGGAGCATATAATATGATCACTTGCTCCTGTATCTAACACCCAAACCGCTTATCGACTTGAAAGTTTCAAAACAGACATAACAGTAGTACCTGTCATTGCTGTGCTCCTTGTGGTAACAGAATTGGCCATTGATGATGGAGAAGAAGGTTGAGTTGTCTGCAACAAAGCCTTGAGGCGATTCAGTTCCTCATTGGTGAAGCCTGCAAACTTGTTAGGACTCTCAGGGTTACTTCTTGGACTCTGAGGAACATAGGAAGAACCAGTGCTTCCCATAGCAGCTTTGTCTTGATCTGCAACATCGATAGAACCTACAAAACTTCGACCTCCTCCTCCTCCTCGATTCTTTTTCTTAAGTTTCCAACAATCTTGGATAACATGGTTATCCTTCTTGCAATATCTGCAGAACAAACCCCCACTTTCTTGCTGTCCT